GCAATATTCACCCTTGGAGTGGTTGCTGTGGTGAATCGTTCCTGAACCCTTTTAGCAACCATGAAAACTCCAGTAGAACTCAAATCTTCTATCATAACTACTACCTTATGAGTTATATAACCCTCTTTCCACACATTTTGAAATGGAACAAATTTAAACTCTGGCTCTAAATAAGTACATGTGTATTCCTTTTGGTCTTCCCATGTAACATTACGCACAACAAGTGAACAATCATCCCTAACTTTCAACCACCTCCTGTCATTAAACAAAAGATACTTCATCTGATCACGAGGCACAGTATCAACTTCAGGTCCTGTTAACAACACATCTTCACCACGACTATTTTTCCACTTAGGAGGATTACCACCAACTTTAATGTACGACCAACATTAAATCTTCCACATGTACCACCATGTACCACCATGTACCACCAACATTAAATCTTCCACATTGACAGGGGAGATGAACCGCTTTTCCTAACTTGGCTCGGATGACCATCTTCAAAGGAGTTGACATCGTCGAAATCATCTGAGGCGCCAACGTAATTAAATGTGACACATTTATACCTTCAGTAACCTTCAATGCTAAAAGAATAGAATTCCCTAAGGTCACTTCAACCCTAGTCCTCATAACGTTTTGATCTGACCCTTTTCCGAACTGGTCTCGGACTTCTTCGTCTAACTGAATCTCTGAATTCTCCTGCAGTGGAATCACAGCCCTTTGAAACCTTTGGCGCTTTGCACTCCACTGAAATAGGCTCTGCTGTTTCTGGGACATGTCGAAGATCAATGTCACCAAATCTTCTTTTTCCTGTCCATTAACTGCAGAGTCATTTCTGGCATCATCAGAAAGGTGCACAGAATCATCAATGTTGTCCACAACATAGACAATTCTGGATTTTGACTCTGGAGATCTTTATGCATCTCTTCTTCTTCTGCATGTTCTTCCATTTTTTCTTCTGGCTCTCTTGAGCCTTCAACATCTCGACTCTAAGTGTGGCGCCTCTTCTCTTGGCGCTTTGACACAATGCGATAAATGATACCACGTTGGAGACCCTTTAGCCTGGACCGCAGTTCCAGTACTGCGAACAACTTCAAATGGTCCTTCACAGCGTTCGTTATACCACTTCCTTCTAAACACTTTCACAAACACCTTGTCTCCAGGTTGCACTGTGCTCCTCTTTTGCTCCTCGAGCCTCGCCTGCACTTCTTCTTTTCTTTGCCTTCAGAAACGTACGTAGTCCTTTGTAATCTTTCTCCAAACTTCCCCGCTTGCAACATGAGCTAACCTCTGTGCCTCCTGAATCATCAGACTTCAATCCATGTCAACACTGACCAGCTGCCTCCTCTCTCTTCTCTCTCTTTCTCTCTCTCTCTTTCTCTCTACATACACATTTCTCTCTTTTTCTCTCTTTCTGTCTCTCCTTCACTCATCATTTTCTTTTTCCCCCTCTTTCTGTTATTCTTCTCTTTTTCTGTTTCTTCTTCTATCTTTTTTATTTCTCCCTCTTTCTCGTCTCCAATTCCCACACACACCATAGGTGGATAAAAGAAGAAACAGATCAGAATTAAATATCAAATGAACCCACTAGGTATTTTTAACAACACAATAAGCAATTCAGTATGATTTACGCCCTTTATCTGCCAACACTTAGGTCTTTTTTTATCTACAACAAATGTTTTCCTCCTTTAAACACCAAGTTATCATCAATAAAGAAATTTCAGTTTATTTCACTCTAACACCTTATTAAATTTTTCTTTACCCATGCACACAAACATCCTCACTGGTCTCTCCACTTCTCTTCAGAATCATAAACGTCCTTCTTAAGGGCTCATTCTATTTACCCCTACAAAAGTCCCCTCGAAAGAGGCTCGTAAGTTTTATGTAAATTCATAAAGTCTTCTTTTCTGAGGCTCATAAGTCTTATCAGATCCGAAAATGTCCCCCAAAGAAAAGGCTCATAAGTTTTAACAAAATCAAAAAAACGTCCTCTCGAAGAGGCTCATATGTTTTTACATGTTTTGATTCATTCTTGAAGCCATTCACTCAGCTGGAACACAGCCAAGACAAGCAACACACAAACACACACAGAGACCAGCTTCGCACACACACAGAAAGGGGGAGGGCCAATCCCCCTTACACAGAAACACACAGCAAGCTCAGAGAACACAGAAAACACAAACAACATTCAATCCTAAATGCTCGTCGACTCATTCATACTTATCCTATAGCATGCTTTTTCCGCCGCTCCTTTTCCTCTGTTTGTTCTAAATTCATGCTACCTTTACGAGGTATGAATATTCAATAAAAAGCTGCTCAGACACTGTTCATCAACTATTGCTCGAGTGGGAACCTTACAATTGAATTTTCCATTCCACACCTCCAGTTCCTTAGAACTGACCCGAAATTCACCTAGTGATTTTCCAGAATTTTAGGCCTGTCTAAAACCGCCTCCCAGAGGGCTCTGGTCCAAAACTGCGGCTTCTTACTCTTCAACTCTTTTCTTCTCTATTTTCTTTAACCTCTCTTATCTTCTCTTTAACTCTTATCTTCTCTATTTTCTTTAACCTCTCTTCTCTTTAACTCTTATCTTCTCTATTTTCTTGCCTCTTTTTTCCCATTAATCTAATTTCCCAGGACCCTGGGCTGTTACTTTTCACTTTTTTTCCTTTTTAACCTAATCGGACTATTTCTCCAAACCAACTTTCACACAGTGACTAATATACACGTCTTACCCTTAAGAAGATAAGGGCCCAACCTTCATTAATCTCACATGGTGTTATTTAGCTCACCTTATCATTACTAATTAGGCTGTTCTACACTTTTACATCAGCTTTCCTCTTCCCTATTATACTCCCCCTTATTGCGGCGTTTACAATGCAATAAAACCAAATTTAGAACGGAGAAGCACTCCAAACATCAACACAGCATGGCATGCACACACACATGATTCTTTACGGTGCAACTAGACAGCAAACACACAACTGCCCCAACGAACGAACCAGCGCCCAATCATGAGAGAAACGCTCACCTTATTTGCTGGCTTGGTGCAGGAGTAAGTGTGCTAAGGCCGTCTGTTAGCAGCAAGCCACAACACGTCCTGAATTCGTGACACCAAATTCTTGTTGTTTATTAAATAGCGATGATGTGAAGATGATGATGAAGTCTCTGCTGACACCGTCTTGCTTGTATAAGATGTTTATTACAAAGTAAAACAGTATCATATCAAGCACTATAAAGTACTTGAGAGGGGATCCGTGCCAATTCTGAAGTGTCCCCTCCCGAGCAGTATGACCTACTGCTTATATAGGGTGGTTGTAGTTGAAAAAGGAGACAGAACATATTGTCCTTTTTGACCCTTGGACCTTTGGACCAGGGACCCCCTCACTTAAACATTCCAAACCTGCAAAAACAGATAACACATGGAACTCCAGATACTACAGAAGTAAAGATGGGAAGGAGTTCACCACCCTCTGAAAGACAAATAGTGCATCAGTTCAAGAATAATATTTCTCAACGTAAAACAGCAAAGAACTTGGAGATTTCATCATCTACAGTTCATAATATCATCAAAAGATTCAGAGAATCTGGAGAAATCTCTGAACGCAAAGGATAAGACTGAAAACCAATATTTCATGGCCATGATCTTTGGGCCCTCAGGCGGCACTGCATTAAAAACAGACATGATTATATAGAGGAAATCATTGTATGGGCTCAGGAACACTTCTGTAAACCACTGTCTGTGAACACAGTTCATCACTGCATCCAAAATTCAAGTTAAAACTCAAATTTTGAACTGTCGAACAGTAGAAATCTTATATAAAGCAAGAATGGGAAAATATTTACTTTCAAAACTACAGCAATTAGTCTCCTCAGTTCCCAAACACTTACAGAGTGTTGTTATATACAAATTCACAAGACATTAAGTGTGTACATTGTTTCCACTCACTGTTACTCTTTTCAGGATTCTACAGACTGACCGCAGTGTGTCTGGGGCTGCTGTGTGTTCTCTTGCTGGCTGCCATCACAGAGCTTTGGGTCATGTTGACCACACAGAGACCAGTTACAGACCAGTTACACCAACCTGACTGCAGAGAGAGACCAGTTACAGACCAGATTTTTGGATGTAACAAATGAAAGAAATCAACTGAAGACTAATTACACCACTGTGATGCATCAGCTTCAGAATCAGAAACACTGTCTTGAGAAGTTCTGTAATTTGGGTTTAAGGTTTAAGACAGTTACCTTCTTTTTGAAAAATTAAGTTACATGGAAAGGTTAAGTAAGCAATACATATTATTACCACGTTTGAAATGGCCATTAAATACTAATGTAAATGTGTTGTAAGGGACACAAGCATTTACATCACAATTGCACCATCTCATCCTCTGTTATTTCAAAATGTAAAACAATCGGAAGGTTTATTAGTCACAAAATATGTGAACAATCTGCCAAGAAATAAATGTCAAACCATCTATCTAGGAAATGTTAAATGTTAAATTGTGCTGATGAATAGGAGAGAAGACCTGATTAGCATTAGCTTAGCTAGCATTATAACAGCTCTGCTCACCACAGAACAGGTTCAGATCTGGCAAACTAAAGCACCCACACAAGTTTAGATTCAAATCTGAGGGAGTGTAACAGAGCAACTGGTGTTGGAAGGTGTAACTGAACAGAGCCAGCCAGACGCGTGTGGTAAAAATAAGAAATGTGGCTTTACTTAGAAAGAACTTGAGAATACTCATAGTGAAGAAGACAATCAGTGGTCAAATCCAAAAAGGCCAAAATACAGAAAAAGATAAACACAAAAAACAACCTCAGGCAACCAGATCTGAAAGGGCAGAGACAAAAAGACAAAGTCAGTAAGGTCCAAGAAACACAGAAGGCAAAATACAGATAGAAACATTCAGTTGCTCTATGGAGAGAAACAGTACCTCACAATTAATCTAGGCTAAAGCCCATGCTTTTATACTAAACTACAACTAGTCATATGACAAACATCACAGATCCAACAAGTTAGTATTCCGGAGAGCTGAAGCGTTCATTGGTGGATCGTGGAAGTTACTTTCACACGTTGTGATTTTCATAAGTGGCGCCTCATCCTGGATAATCTTTGTTCTCCTTTCCTGGGTAAACATCGCTATCGTCCAATCAATGATTTCTGACATCATCAGCCTGCGCCTTTGCTGTTTTTCAGATTCTGACCAGTGCCTCCTGCTCATGCAGAGCAACAGGTAACTCCACAAATACATTGTCTATGAGCTTTTTCTATACTGAAATGTATTAGCATAAAACAAATGGGTACAAAATTTTACTAAAGTCATTTCATCAACAGACAGATAGTGTGGATAGATAATGTTGAGTCTCTCATACAGGCTAGTCAGTTATCTTAACATGCATCATTGCTAACTGGCTATCTGGCTAATTAGATTGTGTTTAGCGAACAGTAAAACTAAGAAAAGTGTGATTTTTTTTTTTTAAGGATATGTTTGACAACATCCACAAATATCTAACAGATCAACTTATGAGCTTATCTAGTTAGCATGCTAGCAAACTTAGTAGTACTTTTCACAGCATGATGAGCAGCTTGTCCTGGGTAGCCAATACGATTACGATGATCGTGGATAGTCAACTGGATATTGTTCATGACTGTATTTCTTCTGGAATCTGCATGAAGTCCTTTTTAATGACTGTGTTAATCTGAGATTTAGATCTAGCAAATTAATCCTGCTATTGACTGTATTAATCTTTGACAGCCAGTTATTCCTACTACTGACAGTTTTGATCATGGATAGTTGGTTAATCCAGTTAATGACTGTGTTGATCCCTGGATAGTTAGTTAATTCATTTCATGACTGTATTGATCCTGCATAGCCTATAACTCTATTATTGACTGAATTGATCCCAGAGAGTCAGGTGATCTAGTTCATGACTCTATTGATCCCGGGCAGTCAGTTAATCCTGTTCATGAAGGTATATATCCTGGATAGTCAGTTACCCTAGTTATTGACTGTATTGATCCTGGATAGTCAGTCAATCCAGTTTCTAACTAAACCGATCCTGGATAGTCAGTTAATTCAATTCATGACTGTATTGATCCTAGACAGATAGTTAGACATATTATAGACTGTATTGATCTTGGATAACTAGTTAACAGAGTTCATGACCTAATTGATCGTGGGTAGCCAGTTAATCCAGTTTATGACTGTAGTGATCCTGTTCAAATAGTTAGACATATTATTGTCTGTATTGATCTTGGATAACTGGTTAATCCAGTTTATGACTGTATTGATCCTGGATAGATAGTTAACCCCATTTATGAGTGTACTGATTTTTGATAGCCAATAAATGTAGTTCATTACTCTTGATTAGCCAATTAATCCATTTCATAACTTTATTGATCCTGGATGTTCAGTTAATCTAGTTCATGTCTGTATCAATCCTGCATAGTCTATTAATTCAGTTCATGAATGTTTAAGACACCTGTTTGGTTTGACCATTATGTAAGCATTACCTATAAAATTCCAGAAGATGTGTTCACTGGTTTGGATTGTAAATAATATGACTATATTCTCCCTTGTAGACCTTGTGACCCCTGGTTCCTGTCATCACAGCTATAAAGAAAGCTGAGTCTGTAAGATTCTATACAATGAACCATATTACATCAAACCACTCTGAATCCACTGAAATATGCATTTTAAGTGAGTCAGGTTTCTCTGTTATAAACTTAAAGTCTGTTAATTATTATTTTTAATTTTACAAAGGCCTTTTTCAGTGCATGGTTCGTCACCATTATTCTGTGTAGGGATTTGTTCTTAGTTATTAATCATTCAATATTATCAAGTTGTAATTCCATGTGTGCTTCTTATATTGAATCATTAATTTAAAGACCCTTCAGTGCAGGCTCTAGAAAAGCAACAATAGAGTTCTTCAGAAGAATATAAGCCTACTTTACACATTTCTCAGTTTTTTTACTTTAAAAAAAAAAAAATTACAAATTAAAAACAGACAAACAAAAAATTATATACCGCATTAGAGCACCCATTACGATGTCATCAAGCCATTTTCCATTTTCCACTGAAACGATGTCTTCACAATCATCATTCCACTAGGAATGTGGTCCAATCTGTAGAGATAATTAAACACCCAAGAAAACACATGATACCATTATGCTTGATCAGAATACAACCATCACTGAGAATCACCATCATGTAGTCAGAGATTACAGCCTATCAATGTAAAATGTAATGCATGTGTCATCCAGCCATCCTCTAGCTCTATATAACTGTTCAGTTTCTTTCTTTTTTTTTTTTAATCATTTTGAACAAGAGCATTTTTTGGATGGTGGACTATTCTCAACCCAGCAGCGGTCTTGATGTGTAAAAATCCAGCAAAACCATATCAGTGTCTCTACTGTACTGATCTACCACGGTCTAGTTAACAGCAGACCCAGAAACGCACCAATAATCACAGGGGTAAAGACAGCTGATAAAATATGCATGACAACATATGGCTACAGCATCTACAGTGGACCACCAAAATAAAGTGTAACTAAACATTTTTACAAGCAACATCAAAAATAGAAAAAGAATACACACAGTCCATTACAAAGCTATTTTCTAGGCCTATTACTATCTTCTTATTTATTTTAATCCTCTTAAAAATCTACAATTATTTCTCTCAATAATTTTTACTGTTAAAACTGCAACGTTTTATGATATCCATGGGTTTTCCTTACATTTTTTGAACTGCTTAGCCTTATGTATCTTAATGTAGCAAATGCACAATATTTCCAAATTAAGGTAAGGGCTGTATGCATATTCTAAATAAGAATGCTTTGGCTGGCACTTTGGAATGCTTTGGAAAGAATGTTTTGGTTGGCAATTGAATGAAGAGAACCTACATATATTTCCACTATGATATAGAGTATATTTTGATGCCAACCAAGTTATGTTTATCATATATTATATTAATATACTGGAGTTTAAAGTTTGTTTAAAGCTTTATCATTTTGAGCTTTTTTTTATCATTTTTAAGATTTGGACACAAATCATTTGACCGCCTGAATCTGGAACCCACAGACTAACTAGCTACCCAGAATGGATACATCCATGAACTACAGTAACTGGCTAAACATGATCAATACAATTAATAAGACAACTAACTGGCTAGGCAGGATAAATAGAGTGACTATGAAAATATGACTAACTGGTTATCCAGGACCAATATAGTGAACTGGATTACCTACCTATCCAGGATCAATACAACCATGAACTGGATTAAGTGCTTATCCAGGATCAGTAAGTACAGCCATAAACTAGATTAACTGGCTATCCAGGATGAACACAATCAATAAAGCAAGTAACTGGCAATTCAGGATCAACACCATCAGTAACAGGATTAAACTGCTATCCAGGATCAATAGTCATGAATTAGATTAACTGGCTGTCGAGGATCAATACAATCAATAATATAACTAACTGGCTATCCAGTATATTTACAATCAAAAACCAGATTAACTCATTAGTAAGGATTAAAACAGTCAATAATAGGTCTAACTGGCTATCCAGAATGGATACAGCCATAAACTGGATTGACTGGCTATCCAAAATCAAAACAGTTAATAATATGACTAACTGGTTATCCAGGATCAGTACAGTCATGAACTAGATTAACTGGCTATCCAGAATGGACACAATCAATAAAGCAAGTAACTGGCTATCCAGGATCAATAGCATCAGTGGTAGGATTAATGTGCTATCCAGGATCAACACAGTCAATAATATGACTGTAAGGAAGACTCTCCAGGCAGATTGGAATCCATGATACTCGTTTACTCAAACACACAAAGCCAGAATCAGAACCAAAACAGTCCAAAAGTCAAAAACCAGAAAATTTCACAAAATAGCAAAAGTACCAAAAGGGGAGATTAAAAGCAGAGTCGAAGAGTTCAGAAAAGGGTCAAGGTAATCCAAAAATCATCAACAGTCTAGCACAAACAAGGCTTGATGTGCAGATAAACTGGCAATACAGTGAGCCAGTGTTACTGAGGGTCCTTAAATAGGTAGGTAAATGAGCTGCAGGTGAGAGGGGTCAGGGTGAAACTAGGAAGTACGTCAGTATTCAGGTGAGGCCACCTCTAGTGGCGATGGCGGGTATTACACCTGACAATGACTAACTGGCTATCCAGAATCAATACAGTTATTAACGGGATTGTAACAGTTTATGACTGTATTGACCCTCCAATAAATCTAGTCAACAACTAGATTAATTGACAATCTACGATTAGTACCATCAGTAATACTATTAATGACTTTCAAGGATCAATACTGTCAATACAAGGATTAATTTGCTATCTCAGATTAACATAGTCATTAACTGACTATCCAGGATCAGCAACCATTGGCTACCCTGGACAAGCTGCTCATCATGCTGTGAAAAGTACTACTAAGTTTGCTAGCATTCTAACTAGATAGGCTTTAGCTCATAATTTGACCTGTTAGGTATTTGTGAATGTTGTCAAACAAATCCTTAAAAAAAATCACACTTTTCTTAGTTTAACTGTTTGCTAAACATGACCTAAGTAGCCAGATAGCCAGTTAGCAATGCTACATGTTAAGATAACTGACTAGCCTGTATGAGAGACTCAACATTATCCATCCACACTATCTGTCTGTTGATGAAATGGCTTTAGTAAAATTTTGTACCCATTTGTTTTATGCTAATACATTTCAGTATAGAAAAAGCTCATAGACAATGTATTTGTGGAGTTACCTGTTGCTCTGCATGAGCAGGAGGCACGGGTAGGAATTTGAAAAACTGCAAAGGCGCAGGCTGATGATGTCACAAATCGTTGATTGGACAATAGCGATATTTACCCAGGAAAAGAAAATAAATGATTGTCCAGGATGACACGCCACTTATGAACATCACAACGTGTGCCTACTGGGACGAGACCCCACCTAGGTTATCCTAGGACCTGCTATAGGGATTGTATCTCTAAGCCTGGGAACGGCTCAGGGTCCCCTGGAGTGAGCTGGAGGAAGTTACAGGGGACAGGGTCATTTGGGATTTTCTGCTCTCCTAGCTGCTAGCGTGAGCCTATCTGGACTAAGCAGTTAAAGATGATGTTGTGCATTTACCCAGTACTGATGTTGACATTGACTTGCTCATAGGAACAAATGCACCAAAATTAATGGAACATTGGAGGATCATTAATAGTGAGGGTAATATGCTCTTTGCTGTAAAAACACTGCTAGGATGGGTGGTGAATGGTCTTCTTCATGGTGAGAATGCATGCATCAGTATATAAGGTCTGCCATATATTCATGCCCATCGCATTTCTGTTGCAAACCTGAGTGAGCTTCTGGTCCAACAATTCAACCATGATTTTCCAGAGAGTAAGTATGGGAAGAAGTCAGATGTCAGAAGAGGACTGAAGATTTATGCCGATCATGGACAGCTCTGTGGAGCTCTGTGGAGCTTAAGGATGGGCACTACCAATTATTCTTGCATTTTAAGAAAGATGATCCTAGTATTCCACGTAATCACTTAGCTGAGAACTGAGCTGCATCACTCAAGAGAAAGTTCTCAAAAACCTATGCTTTCATCAGAAACATAAAAGGTTTGCGGATGTTGTTTTATTAAGTAAACATGCTGAACCTGGGCCTCAGGAGCAGTTTAAAATTAGACAGTGGTAAAAAGTGGTACCACTTAGGTGTACATCATCCTAAAAGGAAAGTTTGTGGGTGGTGTTTGACTGCTTTGCTTTGCACTTCTGCTCACTGACTACTTTATTAGAAACACCTGTCTTGTATTTCCGCTAACTGGCCACTTCATTAGAAACACCTACCCTATACTTCAACTTGCTGACCATTTTATTAGAAACACCTACCTTGTGCTTTCGCTTACTGCCCACTTTATGAAAAACACCTACCACATACTGGCCACTTTATTAGAGACATCTTCTTTGTATTTTTACTGATTTTTTATTTTATGAGAAACAACTACCTTATACTCAATGGCCACTTTATTAGAAACATCTACTTAATAGACTCTGTTCTATGAGGACAAAGATGTTGAACAAAACTTTAGTCATTGTGAATGCATTAGACTGGTTTTGGAGAGAAATTTAGCTTTATTACGGAGTTTTACACATTCTCTTTCTCTCAGCTCTAAGCAGGAGAACATACAGATTATTGAGAGCATTTTCACCCTGAACTGGCCCAAACTGGTTCTCCTGAAATAAATTTAGTCAAGGTTACATACCAGTGACAGTAACAGAAAGATATAGAAAATTCTAATGCAGGGAATACAGAGCCTTTGGCACAGTAATTATGCTCTTAGAACAGATGCTATTTTGTAATGTCAATTGACAGAAGAGTGCAGAGAGTCTATGGCTGCCATTCTAAGGGCAGGAAGTTTGGCTGAGAACCAGTCCTGCTCATTCTACCACATTCTCAGTCACATACACTAATTTCTGAAAACTCAAGAAGCGAGCAGAAATATACGGCCACAGCATACAAAATATATACGTGCAATATAAAGAAAATATAACAGAGAGCAAGAAACAACCAAACACATTTTCTTTTTTGCTAAATCATTTTCAAAATAATCGAGAATGAATGTTTTTCGTGCAACATCCACAGAAATGTCAAGATTTAGGCATAGTAGTAGGCATCAGCAGCAGAGGCGACTAGAGTACCTTAAACCCATAATCAGTAATCAAATAGATTAGATATTGTAATGAATAACCAAATAGGTAGTGTTGGCTAACAGAGAATATTAATTCTCTCACAAAGAGTGGGCCTTAGTCTGTCTGCGTAGGAGATTCTAGACACTGGAAAAACCCCTGGGTTCATAGAGAGGCCTGTGTGTACTTACTGACCCGGTGAAGAGGGGCAAGTTGACCTTGAAAGGTAAAGCAGACTGGTAAAAACCTGTTAACCAGTTTTAGGAGAGAGCTCATTTAGCCAAACTGATGGACGAAGAGATGCACCTATTAGAGAATGAGCTAATATCAAAATTTGAGAAGCAAGGTGGGGGAATATCAAATCACCCCAGACAAATGGTACATAAACTGTTGTTTGGAACAGTGTATTTGCGCAGTTGGGTCTCTCGAGACCTTGTGCCACCTGATGCCGAAATAAAGAAGAAAGATTTGTTCCTCTTTCCACAAACTCAATGTCTGAAGACTCTTTCCTTTTTGACATCTTTTGAGAACTTAGACAGTTATTAGTGTAAGTGTTTAGCTGGTATTAAATGATTTCTTTTATTCATAATATTATGTTGGAGGCCTGGGGTTGAAGGGGATAGCCCTTGGTCCCGACACAGCGATGAACTGTTTTCAGAGAGCGTGGTTTTCAGAAGTGCTCCTAAGCTCATGCAGTGATTTCCAGTACAGAATCATATCTGTTTTTAATGCAGTGCTGCCTGAGGGCTCGAAGATCATGGCCAGCCAGTATTGGTTTTCAGCCTTGTCCGTTGAATACAGAGATTTCTCCAGATTCTTTGAAACTTTTAATGGTATTATGTACCGTAGATGATGAAAAGCAAATTCTTTGCTATTTTATGTTGAGAAACGTTATTCATGAATTGTTGCACTATTTGTCAGTGCAGTTCTTCACAGAGTGGTGAACCCTCCTCATCTTTACTTCTGACTCAGCCTCTATTTTTTATATTCAATCATGTTACTGGGCTGTTGTCAATCAACCACCAGGTGTTTTTTTTAAGCATTACACAACTTTACCAGCCTTTTGTTGCCCCCATCCAACTTTTTTGGAACGTATTTTTGGCATCAAATTCAAATTGGGCATGTATTTTTCAAAAAACAATAAAATTTCTCAGTTTCAACATTTTATATGTTGTCTTTGTATTATTTTCAATGAAATATAGGGTTTAAATTATTTGCACATGATATATTTTGTTTTAATTTACATTTTGGAATTTTTTGGAAATGAGGTTGTACTAGTAATAATAATAATAATAATAATAATAATAATAATAAAATGCTAAAGCTCCGAGTTCAAAGGTGAGCAATGCAATAAGCAGTAGTGATGCTCAAGGCAATAACTTGAATCAACATTACAGATCCATTTTTAAGAAAAGTGTCTTTCATCTCATATTGAAAAAAAATAACTGCCAAATATGAGTATCACACCAACTGTCAGTTCCACTGCTAGATTTTTTGTTCCTTTTTATCTATAATTTCTATGCACTTTTTTGTTATTTTTTCATTTCCATGAACTGCTACTATTATTCAATAAACTGTTTCAACTTCAGAAACTACCAAGGTGTGGGAGAAAGTCACATCTGAAGAACTAAATCACAGCTGTTCTGAGGTCAGCTGAGTTGTAGACTACTGCTCATTGTAGACACTGTTTTTTCATGATGTCCTCATAAAATGTCATTGAATAAATGGGTCAACATGTAACTGAATAATAAAAAAAACTGAATAAAAGCTGTTTGTTGCTTTTCTCACAAGTTTACATAAAGTAAAAGTATTATTTGAAGATTAAAAACAGAGCTTTAGGCTGAGCAAAACAACCGCTTTGTGACTTCAGTCTCTCAGTCTCATGCTGTAACAGGAGCTTTGGCAGTTTGCAAAGAGTCTGCCTAACGAGTGTGCATGCCCCATGTTGCATCTGCCTTACTTTTGAGATGGCATGCTTTATAATGAATGGGTATTCTGAAAATATTCTCCTAAGAGTAACTGAATTTGATCACTGCCTTTTCAAAATAAATAATGGACTAAATACAGATGCTTCATGTTTTATATTCTGATTATGTACCCTTTGCCATCACTTGTACAGTGTTGGAACCTAATCCTGTTATTTTCCACTAAATAAACCCTTCATCCTCCTTACATACCCCACTGCAGAGTTAGTTGATTCTTTGTCTGCAGCTTTCTGAGTGTCCTTATTCATCTTCCTTAAATATCCCACTGCAGATTTAGTTGATTCTTTGGCTGCTCTCTGCATGTCCCTCAGTTTCTGAGCCCACCCTGCAGGTCCAGCTTCTTCAACTCGAGGAATCAGGAAGTCTAGGTACTGAATGGTGAAGGCAGAGTCTGGTTTTAAGGCAATCTCAGACAGTTTTATGATTGCCATGTAGGCATCTTTCACCAAGCTGTTCTTTTCTTCTTCATTCATAGCCAACAGCATTTTCAGCCTGATTTCTAGGTTTGTCATCTCTTCTTTCATTTTTAGTGATTTTTTATGCTCTGTTTCCACACGTTTCAATGCACGTTTGTCATAAGAGGCTTTTGCTTCATGTGTATTACTATATTTGTTTTTCAGTTCTTCAAATGTGACTGTTTCCTCTCTCCACTTTGTTACATATTTCTTGCTCTCTCTGACATGTGTGGAGTAGTGACACTTACACACAATGCAGTGGTTTGCTTTTATAACTTCACACCACTGGACATTTCTGGCAAACCAGCAGTTATACTCATGACAATTCTCCTCACATTTATAGCAGGAGGTCACCATTTGGTTCCACAATAAAGCACCTGTAGTGTCGACTTTCTCTTTGTAAGCAATCTTGACAGTGAAAGTAAAATTTTCATCCTTCTCAATCTTTTCTTTGTTCAGTTTCAGAGTATCCTGAACTTGAGTCAGTTCACTCTGTTTCGCTTCCCTGTACTTGATGCGTTCCTTCAGACTCTCAACACAGGCCTCAAGCTGCATGCGCTCGTTTAGAACTCTTACAGTCATAGTTAAGCTTCTTCTCTCTCGTGATTTTAGGAATTCAAAAAATTCCCCAAAACTGCTTGCCGCCATTTCCCAAGATGATTTGAGAACATGCTCATATTTTTTTGTCTGTTTCTCAGACTGACGGTTGTTGAATAGAAAATGAACAGGTTCATTCTCATCATCGTGGCAGCAGGGGATCTTTTCTGTCTTGATGGCTTCCAGAACATTTGTTGGTGGTCCTCCATCTGAGTGTGTAATAAACAGCACTATAATGTCCTCTATGTCTTTACCGAATAAGGACAGAACTGCTTCAAAAATGTAGCGCTGATTCTCTGAGATTCTGTTCTGAGTTGATTTCAGTACAAGACACACAGCATCAAGATCTTTCACTCCAGTACCATGCAGAAATAAATCACGTAAGTTTCGAGCGATTTCCGTGTCCTTATCTATTCCTCTGGTGTCTCCATAACCTGGAGTGTCAATGATGGTGAGAGAGGAGAGTTTCTCCTCAGAAATGATCTCATAAACAGTGACTGCTGATGTCTGAGATTCTGTTTGAGCTCTTTTTTCTTCTTCTGTGATCTCAAACCACACTTTATCCTCAAACTTCACCCCCAGAAAGTAATTGACCATGGTGTTGATCAGAGTGGTCTTGCCTGTTCCTGTTTCTCCCACCATCAGGACTGTTCTGTTTTTCATGTTGGCAAATTTCTGCCCAAATGTCCACTTTCTGATTTTGCCGTCTTTGTCTAGATTACTTCTTGTTGTGTAAAGACGGTACAGTGCTGGTGGGCCTGGATTGAGCATCTGACTTTTCTTGATTAAATCATTTAAAGCTGATGATGCATCACTTAATCTGCAAAATCAAAGAAAATAAGTTTAACATTAACATCCTGATTAAATAAATCCCCCAGCGTACTGAGATAGCCAAGTACAGAATTAGGACTAACAAGACGTTAGGCAAAACAGAAATAAAATAAAAAAAAATAGAAATACAAGAGTGATATGGAACAAGTACACTGAAATTATTCACACTTTATACACTGAGATTAAAGCTAAAAAAGAGGACATATGAGGCAAACAGAATACAGAATGCATACATACAGAATTTATTTATTTATTTATTTTTTACAGGTGTTCTGTTTTAAATGATTCTGGAAAATAGCTTTTGTGTGTTTTTAAGTGATTATAAATACTAGCATAGTTGATTAATTAAAGGCCTAGCACAGTATTTGTCCTCGTTATTCAATTTTGTATTAGCAGGAAGTATGCTTCATGCTTCTGCTTCAGTCCAACATTCATTGGGCACTGCAGAGTCTACACCTCTACATTTTTATTTTCTTCCATTCAGAAAACACTTTTTACTTGGTGTGATCTTATACATCACAGATAACACTAATTGAAGAGTCATAATCTACGTTATATTGCATATTTATGAACTGTGAAATCAGCTGATCCTCCCACACTCCACACCTCTGAATCGCTCTACTTGAGTAATATTATAGCTGCTAGGAGATGGCACTCATTTACAAATGCTCAGTTTTTAGATGCATGAATGAGAATGATCTCACTTTATATTCTATTCCAAATAATGAGACCAAATCAATCACATTTCTTTTGGGAGTTGAAGTGACACCCACTACAAGAGTTTGTGGCAAGCATTTTATTGCTGTTTGGAAAATTAGGCTCAATTAGGCTCCTTACAACAGCCCAGGTGATCAAAGATCAAAGTGAGAAAAGCTGCAGGTCCGGATCAGCACCAGGCTCCTTAAGTCCTTCACAGATCAGCTGTGTGGGATTGTTGAACAGATGTTCAACATGAGCATGAGGCTCGGGAGGGTACCACAACTGTGGAACACATCTTGCGTGGTACCAGTGCCAAAGATGCAGCAACCGAAGAACCTTAGCAGCTACAGGCCGGTGGCACTGACGTCACACCTGATGAAGACGCTAGAGAGGCCCTTGTGCATCTCCGCCCTCTTGTGAGCTCATCTATGGACCCACTCCAGTTTGCCTATCAACCTGGCATTGGAGTGGATAACGCGGTCATCTACCTCCTACACAGAGCTCTTTCTCACCTGGAGAAGCCTGGGAGCACTGTGAGAATCATGTTCTTTGATTTCTCCAGTGCTTTTAACACCATACAGCCTAGAATCCTAAGGAACAAGCTGGAGAACATAGGGGTGGATCACCATCTATCAAACTGGATTCTGGACTATCTCACCAACCTACCACAGGGCACGGGACTGTGTCTGATATGGTGGTCAGTAGCAAGGGGCCCCGCAGGGAACAGTCCTGGCACTGTTCCTCATCAGGCTGTACACTGCAGACTTCGTGTACAGCTCACCAAACTGCCATCTACAGAAGTTTTCTGATGACTCAGCAATCATCGGACTCATTACAGATGAGGATTACAGAGAGTACAGAGAACTGACCTAGGACTTTGTGGACTGTCACCTCCCTTCACCAGTGAACATCCAGGGAACAGGGACATTGAGAGAGTAGACTCTTATAAGTACCTAGGACTTCACCTCAACAATAGACTGTACTGGTCAGATAACATTAGTGCTCTTTACATGAAAGTGCAGGGGGCACTCCTGAGGACCTTCTTCGACACCGTTGTGGCATCAGCCATCTTCTATGGAGTGGTCTGCTGGGGCAGCAGCACCTCAACTGCAGACAGGAAGAGACTTGGCAGACTCATTAAGGGGGCCAGCTCTGTCCTGGGAAGCCCCCTAGATCCAGTGCAGGCAGTGGGAGACAGGAGGATGTTAGCCAAAATAGCTTTCACCCCAATGCATGAGACTTTGGCAGCACTGGGCAGCTCCTTCAGTTCCTTTGCTGTCCCTTTGCTGCTGTAACACTGAGAAATTCCCAGTTGTGGGACTAATGAAGGATTATCTTATCTTATCCTAATACAGCTCCGGATTTGCCAACTGACTCAAGCTATAAGGAACAGCTTTTCTTTGGATGATAAGACAGTAAATCTTTGTTTTTAAATAACAGTTATTGTCTTCATTTAATAGATTATCCAATAATTTTGCTAGAAAAATGTGCAAGCCAATATTAGCTAATTTTGTGATCTAATTTAACTTGCTAATGTTACGTTAACCATACATCAGATATTTGGCATGTAAAATGAAAGACAGCTACAAATTTATTTATGTAATGTATGACATATTTCTAATGTATGTGTATAATGAGATTCACTGACATTTTTGAAATTGCCAATAGTCATTGACTTTCCCACGTTAAGTTCCTGCCGTGTATAGCTAAAAGCAGCCAGATAAAAGCTAGTTAGCTAATGTTAGCTAATGGCCAAGTCTCAGTCAACAGTGGAGTCCATGAAGTGATTAAAAAGTGGCTTATCTAATTCTCTGGATAAATGAATGTAAAAATAAATAATATGTAAGCAAAGCATGCTGATAGTTTCATTAAAAAAATTGTAAACTGTGGAATTCTCTAATTTGATTAGCCTTTATTCTAATCACAGCATGGATTCTGCCATTGACTGAGATCCCTAACAGACTTTCTCCTGTTGTCTGTAGGGCATCTGCATCCATCCAAAAAAGGGAAGTAGCATGCTAGTCTAATGTTCATCCAGCTTGTATTCAAATCATTTCAGAGGTACAAATATACAGTTACAGTAATATACAGAGAAAAAAGAAAATACAAAACACTCTTTTAATGTTGTTTTTGGGGGAAAAAAAAAGTTGAAGGTAATTCAAATTGTTTTATAAATTGTATTTTTCATAGATTTTTTAAACTGGTGCCTAAGAGCAAAGTGCAGTGGTATGAGTTTATTCACTGAATACAATTACATGACTGGCTACTCACACAAGACACATAAATTATGTTTAAACATAATTCCTAGTACTATAATGCTGAACAATTTTGACTTGGTAAATTTCTCTAGAAATGTGCATTTCACACAAAACCACTGATTTTGTTTATATCTGATTCATTGAATCATTAAGTAATTTTGCAAAATCGGTTAAGATCCCCTTTAAATTTTTTTCATTTGTCTTCATTCAACTCATGTTTGACATTCATTCATGTTGTATCATTACACATACTTTGTTCTTAATATTTACCATTTCTTAATGACGTATTTAATACGTTCACTCATGGTCTGTTCCTGGTTGTCACTGTATTAGTTACTATTCATTATTAGCTAATTTTAGTTACTGTATTAATTAATCATAGTTATTAAAATAGTTAATCGTACATTCATTCTATAAATGTACTTTATCTGATGGCAATTACTACAGGAACAAATTCCTTCTCATATTTGTTCAGTAGTAAGCAAAATGCATTATTCATTATAGATAATTACTAAATTAGTTCATGATTTGTTTGTGCATAGTTACTAAGGTACTATATTGTTAAGTGTTAGTTAAGTGTTACCCACTAAACAACAAATTACAATGGGCTACAACCAAATATTTATTAAAAAGAATTAGCCTTTTCTGTATAGCAAGCCTTAGGCTGCACTTTGGTGCCCTTTGCTGGCAAATTTGGGAATTGTTCAAATCTAATGGCTTGAAAGCCTTTTGAGAAGAGCTTTGAAATCACAAGTAAGGTTGAACCATTATAACTATGTCCTCATATAACATATAACAGATGGCACCAAAATAAGCATAGAGGTTTTTCTACACAATACTAATACAATACCTACTGTAATACACAACCGAAAAACAACAATCATCAGTATGTCTAACAGTGAAAATGGTTATTTAGAGTGTAGCATGCTAAAAAATTGACTCCGCCTAATAATATAGTTAGTGATGTGTAATAATAAAGCTATTGATATGATGTGGCTTTATAAGGGTGGAATTATGCTGAGATATTGCATATGCTTGTTTGTAGAAGAGACAAAGCTGGCTCTAGCCTTGTGGAGGCCCTAAGCAGGATTTTTTTGGGGGGGGTCTGCAAAGCCAGAGTATCTAAACCTGGAATAATCACAGTCTGCATATCTAAACCTGGATTAATCACAGCCTGAGTATCTAAACCTGGATTAATCACAGCCTGAGACTGTAAACCTAATCACAGCCTGAGTATCTAAACCAGGATTTATTATAGTCTAAGTATCTAAACCTGGATTAATCACAGTCTGTGTATCTAAACCTAGATTAATCACAGTCTGCATATCTAAATCTGGATTAATCACAGCCTGAGTGTCTAAACCTGGAGTAGCCAGAGTATGTTACAACTCAAACTGACATAAAGCATAAGGTCCCTCAAAGCAAAAAGATTTAAGTCTATATTTAGTCTAAACCTAGACTAAATGTTTAATGAGGGTAGGTGGTGGTTGTTGTGGGTGCCCTTGTTCCTCGGCCGTCCCGGACTCCTTGAGGGGGTACTGTCATGCCTTCTTCCGAAATGGTCGAGCCTATAGTCAACACTGACGCTCCAGACTAGGTTTCCCAGAATCCAGAGTTTGGAACTCTTGTTTGTGAAGTATCATCACTCTCGTGCATACCACTTCTGTGTTGTTTACTGCTACTCTGTGTATGACCCATTCTTTCTGTTTATGACTTCGACTCTAGCCTTATCCCTTTGCCCTGTTTTGGTTTTCTCGATTTTGGACATCCCCTTTGGTCTTAAAGATCTTAACCCATGTCTCTGCTGTGAGCTTCTGGTTCTATCTGCCATCATTACAACATGATACATTTAGCTTTGTTAAGTCATTCCACTTTAAAATATCAAACTTGTTTAGGACTTTCTTCATTTGTAATCACAAAAGCAGCAGCACAGGTAGTGGTGACTATGAGGGCACAAATGTATGTGAGAGAGATTGTATTCGG